GTTGAACATGCATGTGTGTGCCAGGCTTATTCATGTTGAAACAGATGGCGAACAAAGATTGTGGCACTAAACTACAATAGGAAGATGAGCTAGCAATTATTTGCACTATCAGTGGGGCAGTAATGTGGTTCCTCAATTCACCCCTTTCAGATCTTTTCCCTCTGCTATTGATGATCTTGTTCATTTGATACACAATTTTTTACCAGTAATGATCAATGCACAAAGTAAAGTAGACTACACAATGTCAGCTACGAGATAGCACGTGAAGTCCAATTTATGAGGGTATGATCATTCAACCTAAAGAAAAACTAATCGCATTGTGCCAAAAAAATGTTTGTGTACTTAGAAATAAAATAAAAGAATATGGACGACATGTATTTATTTTCTAGAAAATATCTATGGAGCCTGCCAGCTTTAGATATCCAATTACTCTTGTGTTATTCGGTTCAGCAACTAGATTATTGGATGACAAGTACTTTTTATTATGACATTTTCTTGCCAAGTTAGCCAATTATTATTACTAAAATTTACCTTGTTACTAAAAAGTTTGACAATTCCACTTGATATTGAACATGCATGTAGTTTTAAACCACTAAAATGGGTGCTCCAACCCCGTTGCAACGTACGGGCAATTACCTAGTAGAGAAGGAAAAGAAAAAACCCAGTGAAAAAGGAAAGAAAAACAAAGCAGCAAAATAGTAGGAAAACAGTGAAAATCGGGTCATTGCCCTCAAGTAGGTCGCGCCTTCTGTTTTAGCACGAAGCCGACCGTGCTTTAATGGGTGGGTGCACTAGCTATCAGCTAGGAGACCTGGGTTTGAATCCTACAACTCACTTTTTTATCAGAGCCTCGTTTTTTTTACATTTTCTATTTTTGTTTTTTGATTTAGTTTTATATTTTTTGCTTATATTTTAATATATCTAAAACATATATATTACAAAAAAACACTCTAGAACAACATTTTGAAGTGTTGACAAAGCATTTGAAAAATGTTAAATGTGTATAGAGAAAATGTTTATCACGTGTATGAAAAATGTATACAGAAAAATGTGTATGAGCAAGATTTATCATCTATTTAAAAATTGTTGATCAGGCATTTAAAAAAATCAATCAAGCATTTGAAAAATGTGAAATGTGTGTAGAAAAAATGTTGACCATGTATTAAAAAATGAAGAAAAAAATTGATCATGTATATGAAAATGTTAATCAAGCATTTGAAAAAATGTTCAACGGGTATTTTAAAAATGTTAATCTAGCATTTGAAAATTTTAAATGTGTATAGATAAAATATGATCACGTATTAAAAAAATATTATTATTATTGAAAATTGTTAATCAAGCATTTAAAAAATGTAAAAATCTATAAAAAATGTTAACTATGTATTTAAAAAATGTTAAAATTGTTTGAAAAAATGTTAATCAAGAATATAAAAATGTTTAAAATGTGTATAGAAAAGATGTTGATCATATATTCAAAAAATGTTAAACTTGTATTTGAAATGTTAAACGTGTATTAGATATATACCAAAAATGTGTATACAAAGACAATGAAAGACAAACGGGAAATAAAAAAGAAAGAAAGAAAAGAAAACCGATGAAAAATGATGAAAAAAGGAAAGAAAAGGAAAAAACAAAGAATAAACAAAGAAAACCGAAGCAAAAAGAAGAAAAAGAAAGAAAAAACAATGTGAACCGTGAAAAGAAATACAGAAAACCTAAGAATAATAAGAAAGAAAGAAAATAAAAAAAAAGTGAAAATG